TCAGCTTGTAACACTCCAAAGAGAAAGGAAAACTTGAAATCGCATCATATGACCCCTTTAAGAAATAAAGGAATTGTAATTTATTCTGCCACTGGAGGGCAACAGAGAAAAGCGCTTTCCCTTTTTGTTGCTGTGGAAACGACACAAGCGCAGAAAGTTTGTCGACAGTGCGCGGAGCGTTTGTGGGGCTGATTCTGAAAAGATGAGTTTGAATTTGGAGGCTTACTTCCGGTCAGTTTTCGAAGAACGACTCAAATTGTAAGTACAGGCTATATCATTTATAACACTTCAGCTCGAACAGTGTTTTTCTAGAACCATTAATGTGCCGTCGTTATGGCCATTGAGATTTGGTTTCAGAGATTCATAGAAGTCGCTCAAGTGCAAATAACTGTTGCATAAGCATTGTTTGGGCGCATAGAGATGGCTCAGAGTGAATTCCATCTATTTAGAGATTGTTCAAAATTTCAGAAATAAGGTCGCGCAGAAGGATTTGGCGGATTCGAGTACAAGCGTAATGAAACTTGTGGAGGCGCGCGAGGAGTGCGCGAGTGTGACCTGTGCTCTGGAATCTCAGAAGGAGGTGGTGAAAATTACGTTTCAGCCATTTAAGTTTTTATTTATTTATTTACATATTTAAAAAATACTTTTTAGCTGTTCCAGTTAAATAAGGTTTTCTCGCTTTGTCGTGTGTATGTTGTTGTCAGGAGCTGCAGATGAAGCGGGAGAATTTAAGAGAGCGAGACGAAAACATTAAGACAGAAGAGGAGAAACTGAAGAAATCCATACTGAAATATAACAAGTTTTTGCAGGTAATGCAGCATTCTGAAACAACTAAATAGATATGGATACACGGCTAATGTGTAAAATGACTTTTAGGTAACACCTTTTTGTTTTTTATCTCCCTTAAGGAAAATGATGCCAGACGGTTGCGTGCCGTAAAGAAAGCAGAAGCAGAGAGAGCTCAAATCAGACTGAAAGAACTGGAGATTCAGAAGCTAAAGGCAGAGAATGACACCCTGCTGGCACGAAAAGAGATACTGGAGGATCGTGTCAGAAAAGCCATATGCTACCAAGAGTTCCTGGAGAGAGCCACAATAATGTCTGGAAAGGTAGTTGCACTATTAGTTGGTAGTCTACTGTTGTTGTGTCTGGAAAGGGTACAGGTACTGAAACAACTCAGAGAAACTGTCAAGCTGGACTCACATGCCTCATCTGCCTGAAGATTGAGACTTTTCATACTTTAAGAGTTTGCAGTTATTTGAACTAGAGACTGGATATAAGGCAGAGATGGTTTGCTCAAACAGATATAAATAGGAGGATTTGGAAAGCTGTACACAAAAATAACCAAGTGCCTTGTTGATAGAGACATCGCAATGCTCAATACATCAGCTATGGGAATGGAAGTCCCAGTTTACAGTTTGAGTTTGTTTACCCTAAGTTTTTTCTATGATTTGAGCTGAAGTAGCACAATTTTTGAAAATACTGTGGTCAAATTGGTCAAAAACAATTACGTAAATTAGTCTTTCCACATGCATGACTCGAGGTAGCTGCCTGAGGGGCATTAAACGTATGGGTTCTCAAAAGTGTACATTATACACGTTCTACTTGTTTCAGTATCTAAAGTTTTGTATTGTAATATTACACTTTTCCTCTCTCTTTCCCCCTTTTTTAATGACATTTGAGTTTGAGAGCATTGGTCAAGTCATTGACCGTCTTCACACACTCCAGTCCATCAACAAGGAACTTCTAGAAAGCCAAACTAGGTTAGAGAAGGAGAGAGAAAGCACAAAGCTGAAACTGATACAGTACATAAATAAACTGCGAACTGTTCTCCTGCACTGTAACAACCAACTGCACCAGCAACAGACGCAGCTAGACAGCATACGCTTAGAAGCATACAAATGGGTAAACACACTCACACAATTTACAGGCCTATGTCTTCTGTACAGTTCTGTCTCCCAAGATTACAAACTATTCATGTGTTCTACAGGAATTAAAACTGAAGCACTTCCATTCCACTGCAGCAAAAGAGACGCTCCAGTTTGCTCAGCTAAAGGCCACAATCCGTAACATTTATCAGATGATCACACATTACAGGAGAGTCTCTGTGGACACTGAGGACACCTTCAAGCAGCTGGAAATGGTGAGTAATGCCAAAATACTTCTGGCAACCTTGAATTAATCGTTATTTGTTAATATGATTTTTTAAATTAAAATGAGGTACAGTAATGTTCTAAAAAAATAATCAAAATCATCACACAGCAATATGTAAAAAATATAGTAAGCAAGCTTGTGTTTTTTTCAAAACTGCTTTGGTGAATTAACTCATTTTTTGTCATTTCCCCTCCAGATTCAGAAATATTTTCAGTTTATGAGAGCTATAGATGATGAACTGAAGTTCAACATTATAACAAGGCCGAATCGAACTGAAGGGAATGACAGCGGAGATTAAGACCCAAGCTCTGTGTATCCACAGTATATCCACTGAATACGGACAGATGTGACTAAGCTAAATAATCATCATCTGGCCACCCTTCAGGATTGTGCACTGGGGTGGGAGGGACAGCAGGAATATTGCCCAGGGACATGGAGATTAAAAGGATGTTTAACCTAAACAAAAGAGGAATATGAACACTTGAATGCTTCTTGAGTCTCACAGTCACAGTGAGCTTTTTAATTTTATTTATCTAATAACACAAATGATAATGGTGATAGTCTTGTGCTGTGCTTTCATGTCGTGCTTTCTTTCATTTCCCTTTTTTCCCCTTTCCTTTCTTGGGCTTTGCGTTGGCCTTCATGGCCTTGCGTACACAAAAGCCTCTCCAGTGGGCCTGAATGATAGTGGCAGCTTGGCTCTGCATCTCTCTTTCTCTTTCCTGTTGTTCCCTCTGCTTCTGAGCCTTCTGTCGCTCCTCTATAATCTGGGAGTACTCCAGGTCCAGAACTGCAGAATGTTCCTCCAGTGCTCTCAGCTCTGTCATTTCTGCTTCATATACACGTGTAATTTCCTCCAACTTTGTCTAGACACACATATACACATACAAAATCAAATGCACATATGCATAAAGACAACATATACATTTTTTAAAATGCATTCACATAGTGAAAGTGACACACACACACACACACACACACATATATATATATATATATATATATATATATATATAT